CCAGGGCTCTGCTCTGGAACGGCAATGGTTCAGTCCTCCGCTCTGGCAAAGGTCTGTCCTCTGGAACGGCAATGGTCCAGGGCTCTGCTCTGGAACGGCAATGGTTCAGTGCTCTGCTTCAATGCACATGCCAAGTTGACGTCTCTTGTTGCAACCTACCTCGACTACTTCCTTGCTGATTGGATGACGTGCTGTCTCCGGAGCACCATGCTTCTGATCTGAAATCGTCCTGTGCCCCCCAGGAAAACGAAGCGGCAGGGATGCGATTTCTCATTTTCTCTATATTTTTTTTGGCTGGCGGTGCCACCCATTTCGGACCCGTGGCCCGGAGCCCCTGAAACTCCGGCCGAGTAAAAACGCAGCCTTTTTTTTTTTTTGCCTGGGGCGTGTCGTGTTGTTTTAACGGCAAGGTAGCTGGAAGCTTGAGTTAGAGCGTGGCATGTTGACGCACTTCAGGGTATAATTCGTGACTATACTCCGAGGGTAGGAGCCTTGCTGCACTGCTAACCAAATGTGCAAAATGAGGATGGATCTTCCACTAGAACATCGGAGGATACAGCCATTTTTTTGTCTTTTGTGCATGTGGTGAGTAGTGGAGCTAGACTCTAGGACTATGTCCTGAGTGTATCTCAGCTGGAATCATGGTTGCATTCAGTCAATGTAGTTGCAACGAGCATGACCTCAGGTTTGCCATCACCTCCCAAGGCTTTTTTGGCAAACATCCCATTTCGACCGACGTGTTTTCTTTGCTATGTAGCCAGCCAGCCAGCCAGCCACACACCCACCCAGCCTGCCTGCCTTTTTTTTTTTTTTTTTTTTTTTTGATCAGCCAGCCAGCTATTCACTGAAGGTATCTGTCTGTGGCCTACCCACTTATACATGCTTTCAGTGTTTTTTTTTTCTTGTGAGCTTTCAGGCATTGTGGAAGTTGTCATAAGGTGTTGTGCCGCTCTGGAGCCTTTTTTCCTCTTTCGTTTGTGAAATGGGGCTAGCCCCTAGCAGTTTTCTATCCACGAGGATTTGAACTCATGATGGGCATGTTAACAGTCATGTGTTCCTCTTTCTTTTGTGAAAGGGGTTAGCCCCTAGCAGTGTTCTATCCATGAGGATTTGAACTCGTGATGTGCATGTTAACAGTCGTGTGTTCCTCTTTTCTTTTGTGAAAGGGGGCTAGACCCTAGCAGTTTTCTATCCATGAGGATTTGAACTCGTGATGTGCATGTTAACAGTCATGTGTGTACTATTCAGCGCGACAACGAGGCATCCACATTGGAGCCTATTGTAGTATGTTGCCAGCTCTGTAGCGTTGACTGTTGGCTCTCTATTGACCTTGAATGATAGCCATTTACCACAGCCATCTCACCAACGGGCCTAGCTCAGTGGGTACACCCATGAACTGTTGAGATACAGACCCAAGTTTGAATCTCACATGCAACCCGAACTAGTTTTGACTGGTGTTTTCGCAGTAGTTTCGCGAAAACAAGCCTCTAGCGAGGCCTGGAAGTGAATGGGAGATATAAGATCACGTATCTCAATTGTGTCAGGAAGAGGGCCCGGTAATGCCTATCACAAAGACATCTGCGTATCGCACATAGCTAAGACGTTGAAAGTTCACGTCGGCCACTTTGTGCTTGTCGTATTACTCCTTTAGGGACTCGTATATGTATTTGTCCAATTGATGTAACGTACTGTTACGTAGTAGAGGCGTTCGCAAGAACGTACGAGCATATCCAACACTAGGGATTTTCGGACTCAGTGAAATCATTCTGAATTACCTGGAGCCGGTCAATGCAATGATGATATCTCATTTACGACAGCCATCTTGGCCGGATCCAATTGGAAGCGACGGTGTGGTTTAAACAGTCAGTACATGGCCCCAGCCTCGTAGAAATTTGTTCGTCGCGTACGCCAAAAATCTCGTGGCTCGGGCCTATGGTGGACCACAATGGCTGGCGGCCCCGGCCAAAAAAGCAAAAAAAAAGGTGGGGCACAGTGCAGTGCCTCAAAGCCTGGGTGTACTGGTGATTGAAGGCTCAGCCCGCCAACCCTTTTCTCAGCTATTTTATTCCGTCTTTGGCTAGGCTACCAGAGTGGCCTGGGGCCACTTGCCGGGCCGGGCCAAAAAATAAAAAATAATAAAAATAAAATTTGAACTTTATTTTTTATTTTAAATATGGTAAAGAATTTGGATGTGACCCTGAGGCAAAAGTTGTTCAGTTTATTTTTCTGCATAACGTAGTGTTTTTTTTTTTTTTTTTTTTTTGCTTGGACCTTCCCTGGTCCTTGCACGGCCGGACCATCCGGGAAAATAGGGTGACCCGGGCGGCCCGGCTGGTAGCCCAGGTCTTTGGCTATTAAGCCACCATGTTAACAGGGGCTCGGCCTACCGAAAGGAAAAGGATGGTGGCGCCAGGCAATAGGAAAAGTATTTGGCGCCTGAACGGGCTCACTCTTTCTTAGGTGTACATCAGAAATTCGGGCGGGAAAAAGAGGGTTGGAGGACCGGTTGTGTTTAAAACCACTGGTGCCCCTGAGGCTGGTTTTCCTAACCTGCCTGGTCTGTTTGTAAACAAGCCTGTGGATGTATGCGGGCATGTCGGTGGTCGGTCGGCACCCAGCAATTTTTTTTTTTTGTTTGTTTGAATACAGGGTCCATAACCCCCAGCACCCCCACCAACACCCCCATAACCCTCCCCCCACACCACCACCACCACCAAACACCCTCATTTACCCCCCATATCCCCCCCGAACTTCCCCCCCATCCCAAAAGTTTCTCGGCCGATGTGTACTGTACTTGGCAAGCGCAGTACAGCCCTGAACTCAGATTTGAAAACAAATCAGCAGAAGGCCCTCGACAGACTGGTTGGCGGACCGCCGACGGGTCGGCCCTACTGGTAGGCTGCAAAACGGTCTTCGGTCGGCAGGTATGCAACCCTGTTTGCCCTGTTGTTGTCCCCATCATCCCTCTTTTCCCTATCGTGCCCGACTCAACATCCTTAGGGACCCATTGCAATGCCTCGTTTTCATGGAACTGTTGGGGGTCCTCCTTGACAGTTTGATGCCTAGAGCAAGTATCACATCACCTTCACTGTGGCCAGGGTCCGACCAAACCGTTATTCTTCTCCCGCCCCTCTGTTCATCATATCAACTGTATTCCTCAGACTGCAAGGATCTTTTTATAGCAGACGGGCGCTTGGTTATTTTGTGGTCAAGGTCAACCTCAAAGACAGTTGAGAGGAAAAGAGAGGAAGGTTACAAAAACAAAAGTTGAAAGGAGAAGAGAGGAAGGTTACAAAAACAAAAGTTGAGAGGAAAAGAGGGGAAGGTGAAAATCAAAAGATTCGGTTTGCCTCTCCCTTTGGAGGACAGAGCCTAGGCAATGGACTTATGAGAGATACTGCTGCAACTACCTCTCAGAGTGTTGTACGAATGACTGGCGTAAAGAGAAGGATGTGGGCGCAAACTCTCTTTGATACACATACACTTTTCATACTGACAGGACCCGAGGACGGAACAAAATAACTAAGGAGAAGAAACTGGGGAGCAGGGATGGACGACAAATGGAAGAATTTTTTTCATTCAATCCATAAGAAAATCCAGATGGGGATTTATTGGATGGCATGGAAACACCGCAACTTCTAAGTGCATGTGTCGTCTCCTAGATAATTGATACACAAAGCCAGCAAATGACGTCTTGACTTCTGCCCTCCGTGTCTGCCATTTTCCCACAGCTGGATGTTCTCGGATCAATTTCATGGCGATGTGACAAGCTGATGGGCGTGTGGGCCCTTTGTTCTCAATGGCATGTGGCTGACCGTGGATGTGTACATGTCTTTCTTTTGTGTCTGTTTTTTTTTCCCCACAAACTGAGTTCTTGAATGCGATTTCACTGCCATGTGACAAGACGATGGGTGTGTGGGCCCTTCCTGGTCAACCACGTATGGGGGACTGTGGACTTCTATACTTTGGTTTCGTTCTTGTGTCTTTCTTTTTCTTTTCTGTCTGTTTTTGCTAACATTCCCCCAACTGAGCTCTTTGTCGCCATGTGACAAGCTGATGGGCGTGTGGGCTCTTCGTCCTCAACGGCATGTTTCGGACCGCGGGCTTCTTTAATCTGTGTGTGCATGTGTGTGTGTGTGTGTGTGTGTGTGCATGTGTGTGTGTGTGTGTGTGTGTGTGTG